ACTAGTACTCACTAGAGGGCGCTCGACCACTACGAATAGAGTCCCAGAAAATTGTGTCGCCAAGTTTGGTGAGCATGCGCAGTAATTGGGATGCGCAGACACATAAGTCACGTTACCCTTATAATTTATTGAGTTCTGTAATGGCATTAATTATTAACCGAGTTTTAATTTCCCTATTTTCGAAGATAAGTGAAATCCGCCAGATTAAATCCACTTGAACACATCATAGAACCCTTTGATTCACTGGAATATCTGTGAATTTAAAATCCAATGAATACACTCATTTAACAAATGACTAAAATTATTAATAAGTACCTGTTAAAATTAAAGCTTGATAATGCGCCTTGTTCCCATTTGTCAGATTTGCTGAGCAACGTTGTCTGACGAATTTTGTTCTAAGTTCGCCTTAAATGACATGGTAACTCTTATATTACTGGTAATTCGTATGTTACTTGTACCTGCGTAACAGTTTTGTTCGTTGCGTCAACAGAAAAATGTATCTTGACGACAGTCACTTTTTCCTCAAGCCTGAGCAATATAATATAGTTTGACGATTGTAATTAAAATTGATTTTCCGTGTCGTCTATGTGCAGTGTGTCCACACAACGACCTTAGAACGTGACAGTGTATGTTCCCTCGGGCATAGATATTAAAGTACAAATGTAATTGTCAGCGTGAAGTTGCAATATTGCTTTTTTTTCTTCAAAAATACAGTTCTGTAATCAAAGCAGAGACTTTGTAGCTGTTGTTAAATGGCGGTAGTTGTAGCGCCGCACATGTGCGACATTTGTGTTGATAAACATTGATTTTCCCACAATCCAATGCGCTTTTCAAATGATGAAATCACGAGTACGAGTTTTGTTCTGTGCCCCGCTTGCACTAATTACCCATATTCCGCGCATGCACAACACGACGACTACCACCCTTTAACCTACAGTTAATAATATGTACTATCTCAGACAACCAATACATGTCTGAGTTACTGTGTGCCAAGAGTCTCCGTGTGTTAATGGGTATAGGTATATAGTTAAAGGGAGGCAGTCGTCGTGTCGCGTCCTGTTCGATATGGGACTCATAGCGACGTATACAACGCGTTTAAAATACATTGTTTATTTACATGAAATTCGAACACGCTCTGCGCGACGACCACCGCGCTTTAACATTAGTAATTGTGGTCTGTGTAACCATGGCGATAGTGTCTATACAATCGTGATAAGCACAGTTTTTACTCCATAACTAGGTCACCCAATTTATATGTGACAAGGTGACAGGGTCAATTATTAGGTCATATTCAGTAGGCAAATCACCGCCTGCTGATTGGTTTAGGCTTCTACGAAAATATTATCATGGTCCCCAACATTAAAAAAAACAAATGATCATATAATGAACGAAAACGACTCTATATTATATACTAGTAGTTTATTATGGTTTATGTATTATTCGTGTCTTCGCACTATCTGATAAATAGTATAATACATCTTGTTTTATAGACTAACTCATAATACACCCCTCTCTATATTTATCAAAGGGATTGATAAGTTCTAGTATCTACCACTACGATCTGCTAGAGATGTCATTGCCTTCAGCGCCGTAGCCTAACATGTAGGAGTGGGTAGGCCCTCTCCGGCCGAACAGCGGAGGACGCAACTCACGTGACATCAGCGTGATCAGCGCCGTTATTCTGACTGGCTATGATTTACAAAGACTCCGAGTAGCATTTGATCTATAAGGGACATCCACACTAATTAATGTTATTGAATGGTAAGAAATGTCATGCATAACGGACCAACACGAATAATCAAGTGAAAATCCGAAAACGATAATTAAACTGTACAGCATCGACCGATTTATTGATGTTTAAATACAGGTAATATTTACAGTACAGTTGCAGCCTCTTAAAAATAAAAATTGGATATACTCATCATTCATCAAATAATATTAATCGTATAGTTTTGTCAGCTGTTTCTCCTAACACGTGGTGAGTTGATGTTAATGGATTTACTTGCTCGTTCGTTAATCACCGTCAACAAAGTCGTTCTGACAATATGATCCACCTTTCCTATACGTCACGTCCTCTATAGTCAGGAAGCGCTTGCATGACGTCAACATGACGTGTATGGGTGAAAGCTATCTCTTTCAAAGCAAAGATTGTCTTTTAATATTTTTGCGGCATTACATCATCTGATATAAAAAATATCGCCGCTGTCACCCATTTACTGAAGGTATATTATTGTGAGTTTCAAACGAGTCATCATAGTCAAAATAGATTTTTTTTACACCCAAGTGACGTAATTTGGTCCCAATGCTTCAAATTAGTTTATGACGTAAGTGCTACACATACGGCACATATGGAAAGCCGTACGGGACCCTGCTACGTCAATATAAGTTGCATGATAAAACATATAGCTTCAAAATTATGCTGCTTCTTCAACAAAAGTGCGATTTCCGATGTCTACGTTTACCAATTGTAGTAGTAGCAATAAGCGCAAAACTTATTCACAGTCGTCGCTAATTAATTAGTAGTTGTCGCAAAGCGAGTTGTAGTAGTCGCGATTTAACGGGTGATGATTTGTAGAAGTCACACGTATTTGTCGCTGACGCTGTTCCTTAATTTATAGACGACGACACTTCATTTTCCAAGTTGTCGAAGCAAACAAGTCCCCCTAGTAGACGACGCAACTTGCACTTTTCAAGTTGTCGACGCAAAACGAGTCCCCCTAGGTGACTTTCCTTTTTTCATTTCAAGTTGACGCAGACGCATTTTTGCTAGTAGTCGACGACGCACATTAGCATTTTCAAGTTGACGCAGTCGCATTTCCAAGTAGACGACGACGCACATTGCATTTTTAAGTTGACGCAGACGCGTTTTCCTGGTAAACAGTGTATTTTCAAATTGATATCAACGCAACATTTAAGTTAAAAACTTAAGGTGCGGATGATAATCTTCACAGAGAAAATTTTAAGAAAAACCAAGTCAGAAGATAATATTTATATAAATAAAACCTGTGTAT